TAGAGGCCTTACCATGGGTAAGAAGAAAAAGAAGAAGATCCAAGTTGTTGACAAACATTTGAGATCTTATCCATACCAAAATGAGGAGAATATGCATGTTGTGAGTAAGGCATGTGCATCTAAAACTCCCTCTCTCTCGTCATCTTTTGCATTTTCAGAAAAAGGAATGGATAACTTTCATTTGCATGCTCTAAAATTAGGAAATAAATGCAATTTGTCCAAACAAAGAGGGAAGATGCTGCAAGTTGATGGGGATCTGGGTTCCTTATCTTCTTGGGAAAATGATAAGCTTGTAGAAGATTCTGTTGCTGTTACAGGAGCAAAATTAATGTCAAACATGCCTGTAGTTATTCCAATTGCATCAGCACAAGGCTCCATATGTAATGAAAGTGGAGTAAAAGAGGGACTTCATCTCTCTCAAAATAGTTATTTGGCAGCTCAGGCTTGCAACAAAAAATGCTTCAGTCAAATTGATAATCAACTACCCTTCTCAGTGTCTTCGCAAGAGGGCACATCAAAAGTACACAATCTTGTAAAGAAAGGCAGAGAAACTGATGTTGTTGGAGAGTCAAGCATTCCTTACAAGCAGATAAAAGATGCTATTTCTGACAAAGGGGTGAGTTGTGAAGTAAATAGAAATAAAAAGCCCCTTAGAATGCTTTTTCCTAATGAAAGGCATAAGTATGCCTCTCAGGCTGAAGATGGGAATCATTTCCAGGACAAGCAAATAGTATTTGTTGTTAGTTTTTCATTTCCCATTTTAACTTCAATTATTTATATATTTATTTTTTGCGGAACATGAACAGTATCTTAGTATGTTAATAAGTTTTGTTCAGGTATAATTTCTTCATCCTTTTCCATTGTGAATTTTTTTGACTTTTGAATTAGAAATTGGATTTAACAAGAAAAATCAAATTGATCTTATGATCTCTCCAGTACTCATTCATGATAGTTGCTTACCTTATTCTTGTAGTTCTCCACAATATTTTTTTTAGTTCCTTATCAATAGCCGCTGCATGTCTTGGCAGTGGCCAGTTGGGTTTCTTGTGAAATGGTCTTTTTAGTTTGTGTTGGTGGTGAAATACTACTGTGAAAAAGAAATTTTTACCTCTGATGTATTAATTGGATGAATGTATTCTTATTGGCTTCATAATCAAGCATATATGGTACTGAAATGCTTCTGAGGAAATAACTTTCTGTTTGCAGGAAATTACTGGTTCAGAGAACACACAAAAACCAGTTGAGGCTATGGAACATGCAAGTTTCAAGAAAACCAATGGCGATCAAACAGCTGATCAAGTGTCTGAGGGGGGGACATTAGATGATATACCCATAGAAATTGTAGAGCTGATGGCAAAGAATCAACATGAGAGGCGTCTTTCTGAAGCAGAAAATGGAAGCTTTCAGCTGACAAGATGTGCTGATGAAAGGAAAGCACAGATGACAGTTGGCTCTGGCATCCATGGAAAAGGAGGATTATCCTTGTTACATGAGGGTCTGAAAGTAAAACCTCATGGAAGACATGGGGAAAATGGCATGTCCTTGCGGGGAGAGAATGTTAGGCCGGGCAAAAGAAAGTCTGTTCACTACTTTTCTCCAATTGATGATGGAAACCATTTGAATAGGAATAGTCTTTGTCAAACTCAGTCCTCCTTTCCTTTTGAGGTTTCCAATTCCCAAAAGAGGCTACCAAATGGATTTCATTTTCCAACCATGGGATCCAGCCTTTGTAGCAGTGCTCAAAATTGCAAGATGAATGGGAGTAATGCAGCGCGTGGATCCACTGATCCCGTTTTGCAGGTCCAGGGAGGATGTAGCTTACACGAGACTATTTTACATCCAGATGACAAAGCTTCCCATGTTTGGGCGCCCATCACCCCAGATCATTTGTCCCTGGGATATGACATACCCAAAAGGGTTGTTTCTCAATCTACTTGTGCTACTATAGATATGACTTCACTCCAAACCAATGCGCTTCATAAGCAGAAGATGGACAGGGATGATGTTGATCTCAATTGCTTGAATTTAAATGCTACTTGCCTTGAAAAGCTTAACAGGAATGAAGAATCTGGAACCCTCAATAGGATGAATGCAGAATACCCATTTCCATGCAAACATAATGGAATAGAGCCTCAGCAAAATATGAGGGCATCTCTGGATTTGTATTCTAACGAGATAATACCAGCCATGCATTTACTCAGCCTTATGGATGCAGGTATGAAGTCAATTAAACCCATCAATGATTGTGTCAGTGCTCAAATGTTCAATAGACCCTCTTATCATGGTGATTGTAATAGTAAATTGGAGATTGATAAAGCGCTCAGTTCTCTGAAACAGCCATCATCTGATTATTACAGCAAGAATTACTTGTCAAATAAATCACATGGTGGTTTTCTTAGTTCACCAACCTTAGGTGCATCTTCATCAATCCAGCATAAAAAGAAATTTATTAGAGCTGGAAGCTTCAATAATCAAACATCCCCAAAGTCTGGAAAGTCGAAGATTAAGAGCCCCAACCCGGTCTTGCAGAATAGAGGAAATAAGCAATTTAGTTGGACATATGTTGAAACCGAAACAGAAACAGAAACTCCACTGCAACGTAAATTGGAAGTTCATGGTAATTGTGTAACTTTAGCGCCTTCAAAAGACAGTTATATCTCCAACTCTTGCAGCACAAATAGAAATCCAGCTGATTTCACCCTGCCAGATATGGGGAATATCTATATGATCAGAGGGGAAGATCTGAAATTTGAGAAGCCTAGTAATCCCAAGAAAAGGCCCAGCTTGGTTACTTTTGAGGGATGCAAACAGCAGAGAAATTTGAAGGAAACGAAAATAAAGGATCATGAAAAATGGTGAAATCCTTTAACATTCCAGCATCTGGTAGGTTCTCAGAATCTCATTTTGCTTTCAAGTCTCATGTAAATATACTCGTACTGCTTTTCTTTGACTCCTGCTCCTTCTGTTTATTGTCAAAAGATGTCAGCAGCTGCTGTACCCCCTTAAATGCTGCATGGGAATATTTAAGGAGGAGTATCAAAGTGACTCTCAGGGTCGGAGCATGGATTCGATTTCGAAAGTGAGATTCCCACGACCTCAGCGCGTGTGGCTGATTGCCAAGCCTGAATGTTAATCTGATATAAAGCAAGCAGAAGACCCTTATATCTAAGTACTTTAATTAACATTCTGTGAGTAGCATTTGATTTGCTCTCTCATAAATTTATATCTGGCGTTCAATGTTGGTGTGATAAGTTAGTGGGGAGGCCTTGATATAAGCCCCTCCGTTTTCTAAGGCTCGGTGTGGTGCATTTTGTCTGACTGGCCCCATCAGCCACTAGACGGAAGATTGAACGAAGTAATTTGTCAACTGTCAATCTAATAAGCTCATGTCGATAGTGCTGTGGCTGTAACTTATCATGTAAAGTGTCAAAAACCAATGTAACAGGCATAGTTTGTCGGAATTTGGTCAAAAAGATATAGTTTGTTGAAACTTTGAAATACGAGTTTTCTTCGTAATTATATTTCAAAGAGGCGGTGACTTGGACACTGGCTTCTTTTTTGGGTTAAAAGAAAGGATTAACCAATAAAAATTTCTGGCGGGGGTTCAGTTAAATTTTGACAAATAAAATCAAATATAGAACGAAAAAGGTTTGATGTCATTTCAGAGATACAAAGACGCTGTAATTTGCTGCGTTTTCGCTATCTTCTGGAGGCAATTATCACTTATCAGGAGAGACGGGCCTTTTTTTTTTTCCCCTGCAAAATAACTTTTTTCCGCATCATCTACTCGTTTCTACATAATGTAACAATAAAGAATTCAAAATTTGGAAAACTCCTGTTTATTTGATTGGGAATATGATTGTCATGGGATTAAAAATTATCTCTCCATCGAAAAAAATTATCTCATCACCAAAGAACAAATTTCTTTTGATTTAATGATTAATGATATTTATCTCAAAATACTCTGGTGATGACTCAACTTTGTCTTTAAACTTTTACTATAATTTTTATTCAATTCTAAAAATTTAAAAAAAAACAATTAACGCAAATTGTATGCGTTGATACACACCCATAACTTCTTGGCAGGATATACCCAACAGAATTTGCACAGGAACGCTTTGTAGAAGCAGAGCTGCTTTTGGAGGAAGATGGGTTGTGCATGCGTGTGTGTTAGAAAGTGAGCAAATCAATATGTAATTATTTATCATCCTGTTGGATCTTTCATGCTTCATCATTTCAGCTTCACTCTCAGCGATTGAGCCATGAAGTCATGGACAACACCTCGTTATCGTGGGTAAATATATTATTTACATGTTTTATTCTCTTCAAGTTAGTTAATTCTCACACAAATATATATATATTTGACCTGAATTCTCACACGCAAATATGACTCATGTGTAAGAGTACAAGGCAATATAATCCACGTATTTCATTCTTTTAATTTATTTTCATATTAAATAACCTGATACTTTCACGGTTCGCCTCCAAACCCTAAAATAAAACTTCACGCCTTCGTTTCCGTACGCAGACGTCACTGTTGCTGTTGCTTGCATCTTCAGCTTTTCATAGCATCGTTATGCAGCAATAGAAAAAGAATGCTTCCGTTAAACTTAACCAGCAACCTTCGTATTTAATTTGACTAGTCAGATTTCCACAATAAACTTTCAGAATTATTGGGGGGAAAAAAAGAACAGACTGGATTAATCGTAAAGATAATCCATACGTGACCCAGGCGAGACTGGAACATTCTCTCTCTTTTTCCCTCGATAAAAATAACAAACTGTTTAATTATCCCACTGCATAAATGAACAAGTCTTTGTATGAGAGTCAGTTTAGCTAGGATAATTATGATGCTTCTATATGTTTCCTATACAAAATTCAGAAAAATTTCCCAATAGATTACTGATTCCCACTTAAATTACTAGCGCGCTCGATCGACAACTAGCTTGATAAGCATCCATGGACGATCCATGTGTAATCTTTAACTGGGAAAAAAGCCGAAGGGGAAGAATAATATTCTCATATTATGAGCATAGATAATAAAGAGAGTAATATGCTTGTGTGTGTTGTACAAAAGCATCAAGCAATGGAGGCCGAGGAGTGCCTACAAACTCTAGCTTCTTTGTAGACAAGGCCTTGTCTGCAGAAATACCCTTTTGAGGACTGCAATGTCTGTCTTCAGTACATATGCAAAGTCCCTCCAACGCGCACCCATCAACTTTTTCCCCTTGTTTGCCATACACTAAATCATCTGACCATTTACTTGAGAAAATATTCTGAGGGTCCAATTGTTCCTTGGCTGCAATGAACTCCTTAAACTTGGGATACTTGTTCTGCACACCCAAGAAAGCTACGTTCCTATTCTTGGCCCAATGTGGCTTAGCTCCATATTTGAAGAACGCCATTTGCTCCACCTCTTCCAACACATCCTGGTTTAGTCTCGGAGTTGAAGGGTCCTCCGAACGATAATAGTTGAAATCAATCACCACGGAGTCTTGGGGTTGGCCTAGATACGCATTTGAGGCTTTAATAAAGCGTATTAGGAAGCCATTGTAGATGTCCAGGCCACAGAAGTTCTGTGGGTTTAGGTCTCTCAGTTTTTTCACATCACGCACGAAGTCTCCGAAGGTGGAAGCAGGGAAGATTGCAGTGCTCTCGTAAAAGAATAGCCCTTTGATTCTCGGATCCCACGCACAGGAAGTGTCAAATCTTGTTGAATATAAGCACGAACCCGATGTTTGCATTTTTCCTTGATATCCCACGACTGGATAGCCTGTGAAGATTAGGCCGTTGTTCTTCAGCCCATTTCCCGCTAATTTCTTGTACGATACTGTAGCTGTTGCTGTTAGGCATTTCCCATTCACATCCCTCCCATTTTCCTGCAATTTCTCTGCATTTGATCCCCGTTCAATTATACATGCATACATATCATAATCATTAAATGATTGTGGATGACCAATAAAATAAAAGGGGACGATTCAGTAAATTCCAAGATATGCATCTCTATCCGTAAATATATATATAAAACAAAAAAAAAAGTGAACTTTTTTAAGCGTTTATTATGAAATTCTTCAATATAAATTTATTTAGTAGACATATTTTAATTTCAATGAAGCATTATAAGGTCAGATAACTTGAAAAATTTTATATAAATGAATCCGCCAATATATACTTTGAAAACTGACAAAGCTGCAACAGCTAGCATGCACTAAGTTATCATATATATAATATAATTGCTTGTTGATATAGAGAAATAAAGAATCAAAAGGAGAGGAGAAGAAGATACTAATTGTTACCTATTCCTCTGATGGATTTGGAGACCAACATAGAATTGGGTTGAAATCCAATAAAGTCATATACGCCATCACCGGAGACATTTAAGGGAACCCTGGAATCATATCTGTATACAGCTGTATGCTTCGAAGGATACCAAGTGATATCTGCAAATTCATACTTATTTGCATGCTCCATGTATCCATCTTCCATATTAGCATCATCAGTAAAATTGTACGTTATGCGTCGCTTGAACCTATGCTCTATTGATAGCTTCACCTGTTGTTAATCATATATATAAAAAAGCAAAAAAGATATTCAACAAACTAAACTAGATCATAATCGATCACATCGCAGGTCACTTTGTTGAATATCACACACACACACATATCTGTAGTATGCTTAAGTATGCAAAAGACTTCAATCACTGACGGTAAAAATGAATATATGGGTGTCCACCCAAAATTGCATGTGCTTGAACACGTGAACATAGAGAAAAACGATAACACCATTGCGAGCTGTTGGAAGGTAAAAAAATACAGTGCCATTCTACTGGGGAAAAAATTGATGGACTGACCTTGGAGATGGCACCCAGCATTCCCAGTGATAATTTGGCAGCATTAAGGAGAGGATCGTGTCGTTCCAGCGTCAAAATCTTGGCGTAGCCTTCAGATTTGGAAGCAGGAACAACGATGCTAATCCCGATAACATGATCGTGAACAGCCCCTCCATTGCCCCACCACGAACTGCCATGGGCGCCGGTGGTAATCAGCCCAGCCACCGTCACACCCTCCCAATACGGCGCAGCCACCAAGCTGAACCCATTCTCCTCCACTCTATCGATCAAATCACGAAGCGGCACCCCGGAATCCGCGGTCACAACCAAATCAGCGGCATCAATTTCAATGCCCGAACTATACTTCTCGGTGCTGATGAGAAGAGTATTATCGGCGGAAGGGCAAGCCAACTTGGGAATGGTGTGGGAGAATTTGGTGACGACCTTCACCTTAAGATTGTTGCGATTGGCGTAAGCGACGGCGAGGCGAAGCTCTTGCTCGGTGGTGGGGTAAGTGACGTTAAGCGCGTGGCAAGAAGCTCGATCAGGCCAGGCGCCATAGGAGTTGAGAATAGTACAGCCATGTTGGTCGCAATGGAGAGGAGAAGACGGAGTGAGAGCATGAGAGAGAGAGAGGAGAGTGAGGATGAGAGAGAAAAGGCACAAATGGTTTCGCATTTTGCAGAGGATATTCAGGACTGGAACTTGGTTTGGTGGGGATGAAGCCTTTTGCTTTGGCTCATCATATATAATTACATGTGTTAGAGCGCGGGCACCGGGGTGGACACAAACATAACATATATATATATATATTTGCATTATATATATACAAAGGCAATGCTTTAAGGCATTAGAGAAGGAAGGGATAGATTTGAAATTATCTTTCAAAAAATGGATCAATGATGAGGTTCCTTATATTGTAAATTAAGGCTTGGTGTGGTGTGCCGCCTTTATCTTCTACAGAATATATTGTTTTTTTTTTTTGGGATTGCGATGAAATATATGATGATTCATGAACAGTGGTGTCTCTTCTATATAAAATATGGAACGACTTTAAATGCGTAAAATATTAAAATAGTGTACTCTTTTCTTTTTTTTTAAACCTTGAGTGGCGTACTTAATTTCAATAATACTTTTTAGATGCTCTAGCATAAAATAAAATGATTGAAATTCAAACAAAAAGATATAAATGCCCTCTTATTTAAAAAAGAAATCAAAACTCCCTGGCTGGTGGCCCCTATATCCATATTGAATATTCACCTATTCAATAACATTGTATTAAAACGTATTAATTGCTAATTTATTATAATAAATAGTTAAAGAGGGGTAATAAATTGCTTGTAAATAATTTGAAGGAGGAGTTTCATTTATTTTTTGAAAATTTAAAAAACATGATTATTAATTGCTAAATTACTATAGTAATAGCATTCTGATTTTTTCACTTTTTACGTTTCTGGCTAGTTGAACTCATTTATTACTTCAATTCTCCGTCAATAAATTTAAATATATGTGGATCGCGTCTGAATCCAAAATAAATATTCCACGTTGCTTGTCTGCTTGGGTCATGTATTTCCATACGGCTGTTATTTTTTTAACTTAAAAAAAAAAAGAGAATTTTTTCGGGGAAAAACGAAAAAAAAGAAGGGTTGAGAAAAAGCGTGAAACAAGCAGAAAGACCTGCTGACAGAAAATTTATAAGTATATCTGTAAATATTTTTTAATCTTTAAATGTTGTCATGCGTTAAGCAGCTATTGAATTCCAATTCATCTAAATTTTAATACAAATTACTTTTCAATATAAAATTACAAAAAATTAAATTAATATCTTTTGGCCAGTTAGCCAAGGCAACTTAAATGTCATATCCTATTATACAGCCAACTAGCCATAAACACACATAAACAGAATTCGTTCCTTATAATAAATTGTAAATAACTAATTCACAAATAATAAACAATTACTTAAAAACAATAAACATGTCAAATACATTAATGAGAATAATAAAAGAGAATGTATAGAAAAATGCGGTAAGAGAGATTATGACAAAAACAGAGAATAAATAATTAAAAACAAAATTAAAAAAATACATTAAACGGTAAGAAAAACACCAAATAAAAACTTATAAATAGGACATGGGAAGGAGTATATATTATATAACAAATTTTGCCAATAAAAAACAATGACAAAAATGAAGCAATTAAAGAAGCGATGAATGTAATTTTACTTCACATGGCCAATTCTATTTTTGCAGTTAGATTCCGAAAAGTACTGATTGTTTTTGACGGGCTAAATGACCATGAACGTCAGTATTATATTATACTCTTTCAAACTTTTTCTCTCATGAGCTGCAAGATTCCCTTCCTCTTTATTTACTTGCCAGGGTTTGATTCACTCGGAACCTAAGATTCCTCGTCTGCAGCTTGTTACCTTCTCAGTTTTTGCGACGTCGGGGGCAATGCCGAGATTGCTTAGATATGCCTCCGGGAACACTTTTAATTCATCTCTTGTATTCGTGGGTTTATATTTGAAACCATAAAACGAGAAGATTGCATGACAAGTAAGGATTAAAAGCGATTTAAGGTAGGATTAAAACGATATGAAAGTTTTTGAAGAGGAAGAGCATTTTGTTGTTGAGGGTCAAATCTGAGACGTACGAGACAGACAGCCAAATGGGGGGCAGGGTCCTAAAGTGAGGGACCCCACCACGCACGTGATTCTGAGATGCTCCACGTCAGAATATAAATTTATAAATTATATCGGATCAGCTGATGAGTTAAAGTTGTTGGATCGACCCCTCCTGAGTTTTACGACAAATTAGCTAATTCAATAATAATGGTGGCAATTACTAACACGATTGGATCTAGTAAAAAGGGACTAGTTTCTCATAACATGACGAATTAATGTTTAAATTTATATTAAGAAAAGTATCTACATTTTATGATCTGATAATGTCTCGAATATGATTGTTTCCAGAATATTCATGCTTTGGGGGGGAAAAAATAATAATAATAACAATGGTGGGAACTGGCAGGATATGTTCGGTGCAGCTTCCTCGTCTTCAATGCAAAGACGATCCAGAAGAAGGCAATAATTTCGGGACCGCGGGGCGCCTCAAATGAAACGTGATTTCTGTGCCTCTAAACGCGAACCCAAACATGATGCTACGCTTACACCCCCACAATCCTCAACAGATGGACTCGCAATGAACTCGTCAAAGCCAGCCAACATCACCGGTTTGGTTTCCATCTCGATATTGATTATTGGCAGATTGGGTCCAAGGCAGCCTCATCATCCAACAGCGTTTCGAAATCCACGTACTCAAATTCCGTGAGCAAAGAAACTTCTTCCAGCAAAGGATTTTGAGAGTGCGTCTGGGACACTTAGAAACCCGTATGGCCACAAGCAATCCGGGAATCTTTGTCCTTCATCAACGATCAAGATTGTGCTACACCTGCCCTCTACTTCTGTATATTCCGAAACCCAAGTATAATCTTTTGGTTTTACCTAAATATCAGCTTTTTGCTGCTGTCCTTGTAAATTTCAGCTGGTGATTATAATTATCATTGTAGCCCCGCAAAACTGTCATGACAGCCAGCGAAAGTGATAGTGGGCCTGCTCCATCAAATGCGACAGATGCCATTGGGCTTGGATCATCCAATAACCAGCTTGCTGATGCGCTTGCTAAGGAAGGTCTTTCTACTTCCTCTATTTTGACCAGCTGCCTGACTCATCTACGGGCGTTGTGCGATAAAGACGTGTTGGGATCTATTCCCCTTGTAGTTTAGTTTTTTTTCTTTGGCCTTTGTGCCTCGTTTGTATCAAAAAAAAAAAAGTTACTTATATTCCGGTCAAAAAGCTAGATCACCCGCGTCAAGCGACCTATGTGAGATTTGAGAGATGCGCCAAGAGGGAAAAAAAAAAAAAACAAGGCTGAAGAGCGCGTTCCCCCCTTTTTCTGACAATTCTTTTGTTCCATTTCCTTTTTTTGCACTCCTTTCTTCTTGATATGTTTGTAATACCAGACATGAGCCTTCTCTTAGTGTTGTAATCAGATCTTTATGCTCTGTTTGTGGAATTTGAATTCATTCACGTTCATGACAATGATACTTATTTTTCCTAAGGCTGAGCTTTATGGGCCAAACCCCCCCCCCCCACTAATAATAATAATAATAATAAAAAACAGCACAAAAGAAAGGTTTAACTCGAGAATTGTTTCTGCAGGGCCATAACTAATCAAAGAGGGAAATGATTGACAAAAAAGTCCATAACATTCTCTTAAACCAAAACCCATTTTGATCGTCAAATGAGGCATTGCATGCAGAAAAGGGGATAGAGTGTACCGCCAGCTGCAATCCACTGTACTTTCACATTGTAAGTAGCCTTGAGTCTGACCCTATTCCATAGAACTAAATTTACAACATTTAAAGTAACATCCTCCAATCATCCTAAATTAATGTAATTTTACATTAAAAATAGCAATAAGAGCTACAACTTTCAAGTGTGCCTCCTGATTTTAACTTGCGGGAAAAAAGCCGGGTAAGACCTGCCAAATGTTCAAAGTTAAAGAAATTCTGGGAAAAAATTACGACATAATCACCTCCACTTATCTTGTAGTTCTTTCCTCTCTGATAATACCCAAGTAACAAAAATTGCTGCTACAAGTGCAACAATTGTAATGAGAAGTAGCGCATAGTTGAAATCTTCGGTTAATGAATCGTAAGTTCTTGAAGGAGCTATCCGAGTAAAGAACAGATCTACTCCATAGGCAAAGACCAGTGATGTAGACTCCAACTTGGCAGGTACTGTTATTATTCGTCGGAGACCTTCCACTTTAAGGGAATGCGTAATGTAGGACTGCAAAGATTTAATAAAAATCAGTGTTAACCTTAAAAGAAAATGGGGTTCGAGCAGTAGTTGGGTATTTTCCAAAACTAGGCCAACTAATTTCAGACAGACATTAGAATTCCAGTCATAGCAAACAATATCTTAGAAGAGTACAAACTGGCCCAGTCTTAATTCTTCTCAGAATCATTTAGAGGAGAGGAATCATCATAGGTTATCTTAGCAAACAATATCCATGCAACACATATATCAGCCACAAGATAGATATCCATGCTACAAGTATGCATGCCTCATACAACATGGTTATACCACCAAAGCATGCTGGAAAGGATAACTTAGATTGTTTATGTATCAGCTGAACTTTTGGTTCATCTTACAAGGACTACAAGGGCCAAAACCTGCAGAGGGAAATTTCTGCATTCAAAATGAATCCCCATTCCCTCCCCCACCTTCTTTCTTCTCAAAATTCCTCACCTACCTGACCTTGAACAATATAACTTTACTATAAACAAGCTGAAGAAAGATAAACTGATAAGATGCAGACAGATAAAAAGATACCACCGGTATCATATGGCAACTGATTGCTATGATTGTGCAGTTATTCACAGAGCGGCTGCCTTGCAGAAAAGGAAGAAATAGAAGTTACACAGGCAAAAAAGAAAAAACCTGAGAAATAATTGGTAATGAATCAGTAAGAGGAATAATTCCTTCTTCTTTCTCCGCTTGTGAGGGATTGACTGTTCGCCTAGGGTCCAAATAACGTTTATCAAGGGCCAAAACCTGTAGAAGAAATTTCCCAGTTGATAAGCGGAAATGTATGAACACATTAGATTTTATTGGAGAATGACAGTAAATGGGCAAAAAGTAATTTGAGCAGGGGATGCAACCGATAGAAAAGACACCAATAAACAGCTGTGCCCAAACCTGATCACCAATAGTTCCAATAAGAAGCTGTTGGGAGGTTATGCCCTTTACAGTTGAAGTCACTTCCATTGCTTTCACAGAATGGGTAAAGAAGTATGATTGCGATTTAGCTATGACTTCTGGTCTAGAGTATGAAGAGACAGGTGATGTAAGATTATGCTTTCCAAGAATAAGCTTCCAAACGTCTTTGTTATCCTGTGAATTGTATTCAATTTTAAAATTTCTAATGAACATTGACATATACAGAGATCTTTAGATGAAGATAAAGTTTACTGCCATAACCGCTCGAGATTGATCATAGACTTCAACAACAGACATCTCATATCTGTGCGCTCTGAGATTAAAATAGTGGTACACAACCCAGTTTTCGCTGAATACCTACGAAATATATATTCAATAAGATCAAGTCTATACATGTTGGGCACCATTTTGATGATCAAGTAGTGAAAAATGCTTACAGCATGAACAGGACCCTGACAACCCTGATGAGTCATGCGATGCAATATGCGGCCAGTTACAGTATCAATGATATAGACAATGAAAAATTTTATATAAATGAATCCGCCAATATATACTTTGAAAACTGACAAAGCTGCAACAGCTAGCATGCACTAAGTTATCATTATATATAATATAATTGCTTGTTGATATAGAGAAATAAAGAATCAAAAGGAGAGGAGAAGAAGATACTAATTGTTACCTATTCCTCTGATGGATTTGGAGACCAACATAGAATTGGGTTGAAATCCAATAAAGTCATATACGCCATCACCGGAGACATTTAAGGGAACCCTGGAATCATATCTGTATACAGCTGTATGCTTCGAAGGATACCAAGTGATATCTGCAAATTCATACTTATTTGCATGCTCCATGTATCCATCTTCCATATTAGCATCATCAGTAAAATTGTACGTTATGCGTCGCTTGAACCTATGCTCTATTGATAGCTTCACCTGTTGTTAATCATATATATAAAAAAGCAAAAAAGATATTCAACAAACTAAACTAGATCATAATCGATCACATCGCAGGTCACTTTGTTGAATATCACACACACACACATATCTGTAGTATGCTTAAGTATGCAAAAGACTTCAATCACTGACGGTAAAAATGAATATATGGGTGTCCACCCAAAATTGCATGTGCTTGAACACGTGAACATAGAGAAAAACGATAACACCATTGCGAGCTGTTGGAAGGTAAAAAAATACAGTGCCATTCTACTGGGGAAAAAATTGATGGACTGACCTTGGAGATGGCACCCAGCATTCCCAGTGATAATTTGGCAGCATTAAGGAGAGGATCGTGTCGTTCCAGCGTCAAAATCTTGGCGTAGCCTTCAGATTTGGAAGCAGGAACAACGATGCTAATCCCGATAACATGATCGTGAACAGCCCCTCCATTGCCCCACCACGAACTGCCATGGGCGCCGGTGGTAATCAGCCCAGCCACCGTCACACCCTCCCAATACGGCGCAGCCACCAAGCTGAACCCATTCTCCTCCACTCTATCGATCAAATCACGAAGCGGCACCCCGGAATCCGCGGTCACAACCAAATCAGCGGCATCAATTTCAATGCCCGAACTATACTTCTCGGTGCTGATGAGAAGAGTATTATCGGCGGAAGGGCAAGCCAACTTGGGAATGGTGTGGGAGAATTTGGTGACGACCTTCACCTTAAGATTGTTGCGATTGGCGTAAGCGACGGCGAGGCGAAGCTCTTGCTCGGTGGTGGGGTAAGTGACGTTAAGCGCGTGGCAAGAAGCTCGATCAGGCCAGGCGCCATAGGAGTTGAGAATAGTACAGCCATGTTGGTCGCAATGGAGAGGAGAAGACGGAGTGAGAGCATGAGAGAGAGAGAGGAGAGTGAGGATGAGAGAGAAAAGGCACAAATGGTTTCGCATTTTGCAGAGGATATTCAGGACTGGAACTTGGTTTGGTGGGGATGAAGCCTTTTGCTTTGGCTCATCATATATAATTACATGTGTTAGAGCGCGGGCACCGGGGTGGACACAAACATAACATATATATATATATATATTTGCATTATATATATACAAAGGCAATGCTTTAAGGCATTAGAGAAGGAAGGGATAGATTTGAAATTATCTTTCAAAAAATGGATCAATGATGAGGTTCCTTATATTGTAAATTAAGGCTTGGTGTGGTGTGCCGCCTTTATCTTCTACAGAATATATTGTTTTTTTTTTTTGGGATTGCGATGAAATATATGATGATTCATGAACAGTGGTGTCTCTTCTATATAAAATATGGAACGACTTTAAATGCGTAAAATATTAAAATAGTGTACTCTTTTCTTTTTTTTTAAACCTTGAGTGGCGTACTTAATTTCAATAATACTTTTTAGATGCTCTAGCATAAAATAAAATGATTGAAATTCAAACAAAAAGATATAAATGCCCTCTTATTTAAAAAAGAAATCAAAACTCCCTGGCTGGTGGCCCCTATATCCATATTGAATATTCACCTATTCAATAACATTGTATTAAAACGTATTAATTGCTAATTTATTATAATAAATAGTTAAAGAGGGGTAATAAATTGCTTGTAAATAATTTGAAGGAGGAGTTTCATTTATTTTTTGAAAATTTAAAAAACATGATTATTAATTGCTAAATTACTATAGTAATAGCATTCTGATTTTTTCACTTTTTACGTTTCTGGCTAGTTGAACTCATTTATTACTTCAATTCTCCGTCAATAAATTTAAATATATGTGGATCGCGTCTGAATCCAAAATAAATATTCCACGTTGCTTGTCTGCTTGGGTCATGTATTTCCATACGGCTGTTATTTTTTTAACTTAAAAAAAAAAAGAGAATTTTTTCGGGGAAAAACGAAAAAAAAGAAGGGTTGAGAAAAAGCGTGAAACAAGCAGAAAGACCTGCTGACAGAAAATTTATAAGTATATCTGTAAATATTTTTTAATCTTTAAATGTTGTCATGCGTTAAGCAGCTATTGAATTCCAATTCATCTAAATTTTAATACAAATTACTTTTCAATATAAAATTACAAAAAATTAAATTAATATCTTTTGGCCAGTTAGCCAAGGCAACTTAAATGTCATATCCTATTATACAGCCAACTAGCCATAAACACACATAAACAGAATTCGTTCCTTATAATAAATTGTAAATAACTAATTCACAAATAATAAACAATTACTTAAAAACAATAAACATGTCAAATACATTAATGAGAATAATAAAAGAGAATGTATAGAAAAATGCGGTAAGAGAGATTATGACAAAAAACAGAGAATAAATAATTAAAAACAAAATTAAAAAAATACATTAAACGGTAAGAAAAACACCAAATAAAAACTTATAAATAGGACATGGGAAGGAGTATATATTATATAACAAATTTTGCCAATAAAAAACAATGACAAAAATGAAGCAATTAAAGAAGCGATGAATGTAATTTTACTTCACATGGCCAATTCTATTTTTGCAGTTAGATTCCGAAAAGTACTGATTGTTTTTGACGGGCTAAATGACCATGAACGTCAGTATTATATTATACTCTTTCAAACTTTTTCTCTCATGAGCTGCAAGATTCCCTTCCTCTTTATTTACTTGCCAGGGTTTGATTCACTCGGAACCTAAGATTCCTCGTCTGCAGCTTGTTACCTTCTCAGTTTTTGCGACGTCGGGGGCAATGCCGAGATTGCTTAGATATGCCTCCGGGAACACTTTTAATTCATCTCTTGTATTCGTGGGTTTATATTTGAAACCATAAAACGAGAAGATTGCATGACAAGTAAGGATTAAAAGCGATTTAAGGTAGGATTAAAACGATATGAAAGTTTTTGAAGAGGAAGAGCATTTTGTTGTTGAGGGTCAAATCTGAGACGTACGAGACAGACAGCCAAATGGGGGGCAGGGTCCTAAAGTGAGGGACCCCACCACGCACGTGATTCTGAGATGCTCCACGTCAGAATATAAATTTATAAATTATATCGGATCAGCTGATGAGTTAAAGTTGTTGGATCGACCCCTCCTGAGTTTTACGACAAATTAGCTAATTCAATAATAATGGTGGCAATTACTAACACGATTGGATCTAGTAAAAAGGGACTAGTTTCTCATAACATGACGAATTAATGTTTAAATTTATATTAAGAAAAGTATCTACATTTTATGATCTGATAATGTCTCGAATATGATTGTTTCCAGAATATTCATGCTTTGGGGGGGAAAAAATAATAATAATAACAATGGTGGGAACTGGCAGGATATGTTCGGTGCAGCTTCCTCGTCTTCAATGCAAAGACGATCCAGAAGAAGGCAATAATTTCGGGACCGCGGGGCGCCTCAAATGAAACGTGATTTCTGTGCCTCTAAACGCGAACCCAAACATGATGCTACGCTTACACCCCACAATCCTCAACAGATGGACTCGCAATGAACTCGTCAAAGCCAGCCAACATCACCGGTTTGGTTTCCATCTCGATATTGATTATTGGCAGATTGGGTCCAAGGCAGCCTCATCATCCAACAGCGTTTCGAAATCCACGTACTCAAATTCCGTGAGCAAAGAAACTTCTTCCAGCAAAGGATTTTGAGAGTGCGTCTGGGACACTTAGAAACCCGTATGGCCACAAGCAATCCGGGAATCTTTGTCCTTCATCAACGATCAAGATTGTGCTACACCTGCCCTCTACTTCTGTATATTCCGAAACCCAAGTATAATCTTTTGGTTTTACCTAAATATCAGCTTTTTGCTGCTGTCCTTGTAAATTTCAGCTGGTGATTATAATTATCATTGTAGCCCCGCAAAACTGTCATGACAGCCAGCGAAAGTGATAGTGGGCCTGCTCCATCAAATGCGACAGATGCCATTGGGCTTGGATCATCCAATAACCAGCTTGCTGATGCGCTTGCTAAGGAAGGTCTTTCTACTTCCTCTATTTTGACCAGCTGCCTGACTCATCTACGGGCGTTGTGCGATAAAGACGTGTTGGGATCTATTCCCCTTGTAGTTTAGTTTTTTTTCTTTGGCCTTTGTGCCTCGTTTGTATCAAAAAAAAAAAAGTTACTTATATTCCGGTCAAAAAGCTAGATCACCCGCGTCAAGCGACCTATGTGAGATTTGAGAGATGCGCCAAGAGGGAAAAAAAAAAAAAACAAGGCTGAAGAGCGCGTTCCCCCCTTTTTCTGACAATTCTTTTGTTCCATTTCCTTTTTTTGCACTCCTTTCTTCTTGATATGTTTGTAATACCAGACATGAGCCTTCTCTTAGTGTTGTAATCAGATCTTTATGCTCTGTTTGTGGAATTTGAATTCATTCACGTTCATGACAATGATACTTATTTTTCCTAAGGCTGAGCTTTATGGGCCAAACCCCCCCCCCACTAATAATAATAATAATAATAAAAAACAGCACAAAAGAAAGGTTTAACTCGAGAATTGTTTCTGCAGGGCCATAACTAATCAAAGAGGGAAATGATTGACAAAAAAGTCCATAACATTCTCTTAAACCAAAACCCATTTTGATCGTCAAATGAGGCATTGCATGCAGAAAAGGGGATAGAGTGTACCGCCAGCTGCAATCCACTGTACTTTCACATTGTAAGTAGCCTTGAGTCTGACCCTATTCCATAGAACTAAATTTACAACATTTAAAGTAACATCCTCCAATCATCCTAAATTAATGTAATTTTACATTAAAAATAGCAATAAGAGCTACAACTTTCAAGTGTGCCTCCTGATTTTAACTTGCGGGAAAAAAGCCGGGTAAGACCTGCCAAATGTTCAAAGTTAAAGAAATTCTGGGAAAAAATTACGACATAATCACCTCCACTTATCTTGTAGTTCTTTCCTCTCTGATAATACCCAAGTAACAAAAATTGCTGCTACAAGTGCAACAATTGTAATGAGAAGTAGCGCATAGTTGAAATCTTCGGTTAATGAATCGTAAGTTCTTGAAGGAGCTATCCGAGTAAAGAACAGATCTACTCCATAGGCAAAGACCAGTGATGTAGACTCCAACTTGGCAGGTACTGTTATTATTCGTCGGAGACCTTCCACTTTAAGGGAATGCGTAATGTAGGACTGCAAAGATTTAATAAAAATCAGTGTTAACCTTAAAAGAAAATGGGGTTCGAGCAGTAGTTGGGTATTTTCCAAAACTAGGCCAACTAATTTCAGACAGACATTAGAATTCCAGTCATAGCAAACAATATCTTAGAAGAGTACAAACTGGCCCAGTCTTAATTCTTCTCAGAATCATTTAGAGGAGAGGAATCATCATAGGTTATCTTAGCAAACAATATCCATGCAACACATATATCAGCCACAAGATAGATATCCATGCTACAAGTATGCATGCCTCATACAACATGGTTATACCACCAAAGCATGCTGGAAAGGATAACTTAGATTGTTTATGTATCAGCTGAACTTTTGGTTCATCTTACAAGGACTACAAGGGCCAAAACCTGCAGAGGGAAATTTCTGCATTCAAAATGAATCCCCATTCCCTCCCCCACCTTCTTTCTTCTCAAAATTCCTCACCTACCTGACCTTGAACAATATAACATTTACTATAAACAAGCTGAAGAAAGATAAACTGATAAGATGCAGACAGATAAAAAGATACCACCGGTATCATATGGCAACTGATTGCTATGATTGTGCAGTTATTCACAGAGCGGCTGCCTTGCAGAAAAGGAAGAAATAGAAGTTACACAGGCAAAAAAGAAAAAAAACCTGAGAAATAATTGGTAATGAATCAGTAAGAGGAATAATTCCTTCTTCTTTCTCCGCTTGTGAGGGATTGACTGTTCGCCTAGGGTCCAAATAACGTTTATCAAGGGCCAAAACCTGTAGAAGAAATTTCCCAGTTGATAAGCGGAAATGTATGAACACATTAGATTTTATTGGAGAATGACAGTAAATGGGCAAAAAGTAATTTGAGCAGGGGATGCAACCGATAGAAAAGACACCAATAAACAGCTGTGCCCAAACCTGATCACCAATAGTTCCAATAAGAAGCTGTTGGGAGGTTATGCCCTTTACAGTTGAAGTCACTTCCATTGCTTTCACAGAATGGGTAAAGAAGTATGATTGCGATTTAGCTATGACTTCTGGTCTAGAGTATGAAGAGACAGGTGATGTAAGATTATGCTTTCCAAGAATAAGCTTCCAAACGTCTTTGTTATCCTGTGAATTGTATTCAATTTTAAAATTTCTAATGAACATTGACATATACAGAGATCTTTAGATGAAGATAAAGTTTACTGCCATACCGCTCGAGATTGATCATAGACTTCAACAACAGACATCTCATATCTGTGCGCTCTGAGATTAAAATAGTGGTACACAACCCAGTTTTCGCTGAATACCTACGAAATATATATTCAATAAGATCAAGTCTATACATGTTGGGCACCATTTTGATGATCAAGTAGTGAAAAATGCTTACAGCATGAACAGGACCCTGACAACCCTGATGAGTCATGCGATGCAATATGCGGCCAGTTACAGTATCAATGATATAGACAACCAGCCATGCCTCCTCCGGTGTTGCTGTTCCAATTTCACCTCTGGCTTTGGGTGCCACATTTGCAACAAAAAGCAGATTACTTGATATATACTTGTACATGACGTCTTGGTCAGCCATGACTTTTGCTTGAGTATGAACGACCTAGATAACAAAAATGAAAAAACAGGTAATAAAGCTAAGGAGAAAGCAGTAATTTACTTGCCACAAAAGAAAATTACAAACTTGTTCTCGAATTCCTCATTTCAATTGTCATGCACAATCTTACTGCTATAGGTCTATGAAAAGCCCCCCTCGTGATAGAAAAAGACACTAGTATGAGTGAAGTATGCAACCATGACTAGGTGTTGTAGATTGTAGACAATGAAGGAAACAAAGTTTAAACAAAAACCTTTGAACATGGGAGGCATAGGAGGAATAACAGGTGTAGTATAATTTGAGATTCTCAATTTCAAGGATGAATACTATTTTCAATAAAAAAAATTACGTACAGAAGACACCATACCTCATTTGATTTTCTTGTCACAGTTGCAATGATCTTTTCAGATTCAGATGGGAATACAACTGACCACAAGTCCCTGAAGACAAAGCAATATTCATCCACTACTTCACCAATGCAATTACTCTTCAAGGCATGACCTCTAATAATACCATTATCCACCTCAACTGAGTACCAGTACACATTTGAAAACCCATGTCGCAGAATTTCAATAGCTTCAGGTGTTCTAGGGTGTAAATGAGCTTTCTTGTCAGCATCTATGATTAGATGGAGACGCTGCTCTTTTGAATCAGTGTAAGGCAGTTGAATAACTTGAGCAATGGTATGAGGAAGATTCCAAGCATTAAGTTCCATTCCCGTGTATGCATCAATAAAAGAAATAACAGCTGATGCAGTCAAACTTGAGCCACATCGCCCAACTACAAGGACGGATGGATTCTCATCCAGTGCATGGTGATGTGGAACCTGCCACTGATAAATATTAATCCCAACTGGATGTTCACATGCTTCAGATTTCCGCAGATTTCGTAATAGCACAGACCAAACTACATGTCCATCTCCAGTGTGCAAGGCGAAAATTTTTCCAGCCCTGGTAAGCACAATAAGTAACTTACGGAAGCCATTATGATCACGGGTCATTTTGCTTTTCTCAGAACTCCTCAACCTCATCGCTTGGATTGCTGCTATATCCTCTGGGCTTGCAATCATTAAGGTTCCTTTGAGCTTCAGCATGTGTCCCTTTCAACAATAAATAATTGCAGCAAAAACGCACAGTTAGAGAAGCAGTTAATAATATCCCAACCGTATTTCCTGGTCCCTTGTCAGAAAAAAAGAGTTGAAACTGCACATATATTTGAAAGTATTTTAAACAATGCACTAAGGCATGCCAATAATAATAAGTCTGTTTCTAATTTTCTGGCCAGCAATTACAAGTTTGTTTTTCTATTGAAACACAAGCATTAAATTATGCAGGTAGATGTCCTGGTTATAGTATACAAATGGCAGTCATACCTTGAGCCATTCAAAGAGATTCTGTTCAACTTTTGCTACAGAGACACCTTCCTTTTCCACAGGTAGTTCAGATGCTGTTACATCTACCACTGCAGCAAGACCATCCTCTCTGCTCCAAACAGTCTCTCCTTGTTGTACTAAAACAAGTGAATGATCCTCCATTACCATCAATGCCCTAAACCCATAAGATCTGTCTGTCCTGACATAGTTGTTTATAAAAATTTTCTCAATAAACCCTCTTTGATCGTCTATTACTATGTTTTCCTTAAGGAAGTCACCATTCAAGTCATTGGCGTTGACATCCTTTACATAAAGATGAACTTTATTGTCTCCATGTTGAACAAATGCAAAAGCATGTCGGCCCTCTGAAATTGATAGAGCATCACTAATAGCTGCAACGCTATTTATTTTGTCCACCACCGCCAACTCACCTTCATTTGTCAATTTAAGAAGGATAATATGGGAATCAAGATTTAAAGCAAACATTCCCGGAAGCTTTGATGGTAAAATTGCTGGCTGTCCAGATGAATCCTCAATGAGCTCTGAAATATACTTCTGGTTGTAGTTAATATCCCCATTCCCTATGTTTATTGTTACTATCTTTGACCTGATGTCATCCAATATCACAAGCATATCATTGGAGACTGATAATAATTCCCCAGAAGTACCACAGGGAAGTGCTGCATCATTATGCTTTAACAAGTCCCCGTTCTTGGCTCTGAATTGATACACAAAAAATTCTGAAGAGCCAGAAAAACCAGCTACATAGATTATATCATCATGAGGAGACAGAATAAGATGCTGAACATCAATGCTGCAAATAAGATGAAGATGACAACATAAATAACACCGCCTTACACTACAAAAAAGAATAACTAGCTCAACAAAACACCATACGTGCCATACCTTTCACCTGCAAAATCTTTCTTCCAGAGTGTCTCACCATCTATGCTGGAAACAGCATGAAGACATCCATTACCAAAAACAAGGATCAAATCGTCCCTGTCTGTTTTCAAATTTTTCTGCAAAAATAATAGTAGCAGTTATTGCATATATAGGGCAAATTTTGTGCATACTAATGACCAGGCAAGAAGGACAGGTTCATGGCCGGGATAAGAATAATACTGAGGAATAAGCATAGGTTGATGAGGATCGTACAGAAGGTTTATTAAAAGTACAAGCTTATATGGGAAAAAAGTGCAATTACGCCTATTCTGCTCTGTGCATTGAATCCTTTTTCACCGTATAAATGGAGCAGTGAAATGCCCTCCCATCTGGCACTATTTATTCCCATTATTACATGCTTTAGTTCCTTATCAAATAAAAAATATCGGGTGACATACACATCTAACATGAAAAAGTCTGGCTTGGGCAACAAATCATTCACTCACAGGAACATTTAATATTGACTTTGAAGCCTTTGACCCCGGAAGGAAAGACTCCCAAACCATCTGGCCATCAGGAAGGTTCCATGCTCTCAATATGCTACCATCAGAGGAGAGAGTAATAACATCTGAAACAATTCAATGTACAGTAATAAATCTGATAGCTGATATAGGCCAATTACTTCATCAAGTATATACTAAAAATCACTTACAAGGTAAGAAAAGAAGCATATAAGCATAATGAAACCAATTAAGTTTCAAGCTCATTAATTATAGACATCACTGCAATTCAATGATGATGGTGTAGGTGGCCATGTTGACTTTGGTTGGTTCATTAAATTCAATCAATATTCAAACAAATGTCAGCCAAAACCATAGAACATTTCATTTTAGGTGCACAAAACCAAAAGACATATTTGGCCAATAGACACGACAAATGATCAAAATGAAAGAGATTTCATTTTGAAATCAACTTTCCCTCTTCATGGGATAACATGTTTGTGTGATGATATCATCCTGACGGACGGTCAAGCCAGAATATAAAGAACATATTCTAATGCTTTTCCGAAGCAGCCCAATTATAATAATGGTTAGATAGCATGATGAACATTCTGTAAGTAGATATCAAAGAAAGCTGCAGCATCATACATTTTCCCAGGGCAATGTCAAGTCCATCAATTACATCGTTGGTCCCAAGAGCATGCCTCCAAACTGCCAAAAAAAAAAAAGGCGAAACATAGTTCAGCACTTCTTGATTTCAAACAAATCAGAACAAATAGTTGACTAGGCAATAATATTACTCAGGAATGTTTGAATTAATTCTATGCCGTTCACAAATTATTACATTCAGTGCTAGTAACATTCGTCTTGCAACTTTGTAGGCATTATATCATTTTTAAGAAACTAAATCAACGAGATTCCTGAGAAATCTATTGAACAAATCAAACTTACAAATTTCTCCATGACGAAGGTCAAGAGAAGCAAGAACATTCTCTTCAGTGGACACCAAAACACGCTTTCGTCCGGTCTTTTGAGTATGAAACACAGCATGTTTTACTTTCCCAATGTACTGTTGGTGCCTGAAATTTGTGGTCGCATATTTAAAAAGTATAAAAGATAAACCTACTATACATGCACCTGTTTGCCGAGATCATAAACTGATGAACTCTATTGGAAAATTTATCACATGATTTTCTGGGGTTGCAGATGCTGTAGATATCAGAAGACTACTGCTATGGAAAGTCGAAAATATCCTGGGATAATGCGACAAGTTCAAATCACAAGCAATATCAATTTTGCAGGTGCATTAAACAGTATAAAGAGATTATCTTTCCAGGATGTTTTCAAAAAGTTTGAATGAAATCCGATATTAAAATAATCAATCTCTATGGCTCCGAGACTCCGAGTGTTGACCTATCAATAACTAAGGATACATAAAATTTAATAAACAATAAATCCAAGACCAGCATAGAGGGTCGAACTAAAAATCCAGTAGAGACAACCGAAAGGCTAAAAATTCTGATCAACCTTCCTTCTCAATGACCAAGAAGAGCTGTAAGTACACGAGAAATTGAACTCACCAATCCATAAGGCCAACTTGATCTTCATAAAGCGAAAAGCTAAAGTGGGCACACAAGAGAAATAACAGAAGAACGAGAAAATCCCTTATCGCCATGGCCATGGCGATTCGGCCAGAATCTATTCGCCGAATGAGAGTGAGACGGATCTAAGAGCCAGTGCGCCGGGAGTGAGAGACCAGAGCAGCTGGGAGGCTTCGTGTGCGCTGTACCCGTAACGATAAAAAAGGCCGGCCTCTTCAAAACGCAGCGTTGAAATTTGACCTTTTTTCATTTGTTTATTTTTGTATAAACTGCAACTCGACTTTGCCAGTGAAACCGGAATTAGGAACACTAACCCTACCAACGTTATTTTTCTTGTTGCTGTAAAAGTTTTACATTTTTGTCGGCAATTTTTTTATATTGATTAATGTTGAATGTTGATTATATATTGTGAAAAAAAAATACTCACAGAGATTACTCTTTTATTCAATTATTTGTATTTATATCTATTCGGTTTCATTACTGAATTTCGTTGATTGATTTCGATAAGCTTATTCATTTTTGTTGTTGGCCCAAAAGATGACTCGGGTCGTAGACATGCTGATACCAAAAGCCAAATCTGAAAATTTGCACATGACACTTGCAAGCTAATTTCAATTGCTTCCTGTGTTTGAAATTAGGATTGTCAATGACAGGATAAAAACAACATTCTCTGCTTTTAATATTCCAAGTCAGTTTTAGGTACTGCTTGGCATGAGGGAAATGAGGGAAATGAAGAGATAGGAAGGAGGAAAAAAAATTTAATAAACTATTTAAAAAGTGAAGTTTTAAAATTTTAATTAAGAAATAATATAAAAAATTAAAAAAATTAATTTTTTAATTTTTTAAATTTACCTTATTAAAATCCCACCTCCACTCTTTTTTTTTTTTCTTTTTTTTCCCTCATACCAAACGGACCATTGGAGTCTTCGTCTTATGTATCCTCGGCATAGCTTTGTTTGGGTTGCGTGCCTCTTCTCTTTCTTTAGTGTTTTGATTTCCGTGCATACCCCGGTCCTCTGTAAACTTGCTCATTACATCCCCGCGTGAGCAACAGTATCGTATTGCGGTATTTTTATTAATCTTATGGCATTTAGCGGTATCAACTGATCTGAATTTCATCATTGCTGGCAATCTTATATTTACAACAATACTTTTTCTATCTTATTTTTAATATAAGACTCATTTTTATAATACAAATTATACTAGAAAGTATGTCTTATAGAGAAATAATGAAAAATAAACATTGATTAGAAGTTAAGATTTGAGTTGTGTTGGTCTTCGGCATAATTTTATGAAAGATTAAAAATAATTTATAAGGAGAACGACGCCAGCAACCGTCGATATGTCCGAGTGGTTAAGGAGACAGACTCGAAATCTGTTGGGCTCTGCCTGCGCAGGTTCGAATCCTGCTGTCGACGATTTTGTTTTACTAACCTCCTTCTAAACTCTTTTTCTCAAACTACTTTACCGCTGCTTCGTGACTTCCCTTTGGCTTTTACAGGTATTTTCGGCTCTCTCCAGCTCTCTCTCACAGTCTCTGTGGGCGAATGAAAATGGAAGCTAATACAAGAGTCTTACGCAAGTTTCTTGAGGCGGTCATGTGTGTTATTGCATTTCAACATGTAAGGGGTGCTCTGACGCCGGATCTGCTGAGCAAAATTGCTGAAGCAAACCGACGAGGGCCCCATATAGGTTTGGTCGTGCCCAATGCATTTGAGTTGAATCCTCTTCTCCACTCTCCGCACTTCACTTCCACTGACGCTAACATAGATTTTGCTGGTATATTCATTTTTCTGCCCTAACATCCCCCTCCTTTTTTATTTTGCCTCTTTCTCAAATTCTGCATGAGAAACTTCGCGAGAAACAAGGTCAACGGCACTCAGATCGTCATTTTATTTAAAGAAATCATCATTCACTTCTACCGTTATGCTTTGAAATCACTAGAAACCAGAGTTTTCTCTATGTATAATTGCTATTTATCTCTTGGTATATAATAACGAAGGCAGGAGATTTCGTTTCGGAGCTATCTGTGAGCAGCCTGTTATAGTGGTCATGACAGGATTAAGCATGGTATAGTTGCGTTTTGAGATACCTTCTTTCCTTCCATTCCTTTCGACAAACTATACTAACACGCATCTGCTTGTGTAGATAAATGCGGCAGTAACCACTCAGCTTCTGCTGAGCTTTTTCCGAGTAAAAGGAGTGTTGCATTATGGCACTGCGGGAAATGTGAACCCATCCCTAAATACGGGAGATGTGCTGATTCCTCAATATTGGGCACATTTAGCTCTTTGGAGCTGGCAGGTAGATCATGCATGAAAAGAATAAAGACAGGGATAATAGTTTATCAAATTTTGGCATTTTGATCCTTCCCCAAGTTTCAATTTGCCATAGCCCTACCTTGTAACGTTTGAGTGGTCTCATGCAGCGGTATGGGCAGGGGCCTGAGGATGAGTTACCCTTGGAAGCCAACGGAGATTACACCAGAGAAATAGGCTACTTAAAGTTTGCTGATTACACCACATACATCGGTGATGGAAGCTCATACGACAACCGGCTCAACAACATCTGGTACCAACCAGAGGAGATATTTGCCATTGATGGCACTCCAGAAGAAAGGCAACATGCCTTTTGGATCCCTGTTGATTCCATGTTCTTCCAAATGTCTCAAAAGCTTGAGGTAAGAGGTGCTGAGTCCCTTACTACTAATAATATACTACTGAATTACTAATACCCATTTCACTGATCCTCCTACGTGCTGATTGATTAGGAGTTAAGACTGGAGAAGTGCTTCAACTCAACATGTTTGTTGAGACGGCCAAAGGTTGCGAGAGTCCAAAGAGGAGGAAGCGCGAGCATATTCCTGTCAAATACAGCTTACAGGAGCTTCATATACAATAAGTTCAACGTAAGTCCCATAGACATGGAAAGTGCATCCGTGGCGTTAATATGCCTTCAACAGAGGGTACCTTTCATTGCTTTTAGGGCTGTATCTGGTTCCAAGTTCATGCCTCTCGCCTCCATGAATTCAGTCGCTGTGGTTGTTGAATTCATCAAGCAGTGGGCACAATTGAGGGTGAGGTACTCCTTGTAGTTATATTGTCTTCTCTTCGTTCACCACTGCTCTGTTTCTACTTTGGTTATTAATTTAAGAACAATAACTCCATAGATGTTGTTTTGCTAACCTCATTTTATAATCATTGATATCCTGTATGCCTATGTGAAGGCAGATTACAATCGGGATTACTTTTGAAAAAATTAATTTCTAACACGTGTCTGAAAAACCTAATTTTATGAGGGAGATGGATGTAACAGAGGTGATAGTGAAATTGCGGCAGCTTGCTAGCAAAATTGGTGGGACCTTTTGACTTCCATAAGAAGAAAATGGTGGCATTACATAAAGTTGGGGTTGTTGTGAGTATGACTTTCAACATTCTTTCCCCTTGTTCTCCTCTAAATAAGTCATCAAGTAAATGTCTTCAACCTCTCGAATAATCACCAGCGGGCTCGACAAAGAAACTTACACTGCTACAACAATAGACGGAGGGAATGACTGGCAGATAGGCTATGTACGTTCTAATTGGCAGTAGCTTCTCAAGATGGAGAGTTGCAAGATTGATTAAACGGACAAAATTGCCAGAGTCCCCTGCCTTCAGTGAAGAGGTGTTGAATCTTATATTATGCTTGTCACTCTAATTCCTTCAGAAAATCAACATTATCAACAAACACCTGCATGAATTGATAGATAAGTCAGACTAGAAAGAACTCAGTGTGACAGGTATGGAAAAACTAATTTAATATCAGAAAACTCAAAGCACTGATCAAGCTCTCTAGATTTCTTTTAGATAAATGGTAATTCCTCAGCATATCATTCATGAAATAATTGTACAATAAACAGTTTTAAGTGCATCTGTTCTATACACTTACAAGTCACAACAGTCACCAATTAATTCATCACCTAAATATAGCCGACACCATTCTAAGTAAACCAAATTTTGATAGGGGCAAGGTTAAGGCTCCAGACCACATCACGAGTAAAAACAAGAGGCCGTACCGATTTCCAACCATCAGGATCCAAGCAAGCTACTATCTTGGTGTTGATACCTGGCAAAGGCCCAGGTTCACGGATAATCTTCCCCCCATAAAGTTTTATTGCTTCTGCAGTCTTATAAACATCGTTTGTGCCTATTGCAATCTGTCCCAACACATTAAAAGGTTCTTTTTTCACAATGACTTAATGTACAAGGTTTAAAAGATAGAATTAAAAACTTAAGCGCACTCTTGAAAGCAGAAAATTATGCAATCTACCTGTGCATAACCATTTCCTTTGTCATAATTGGTGACCCCATAGTTATATGTCAGTTCTAGAACTGCATTCTTATCTTCAGGGCCATATCCCATCATAGCTATTGTATACTGGACACCGATGAAAATAACCCGATCATTTATATGAATGATTAACATTAAAATATAATGCTTCGTACAAAAATGGCCATGGCTCTTATTAGCAGCTAGATAGGGAATTTACCTTGTACTCAGGATTGTCTCTTTTGCGGAGAAGTTGCATGCCAAAAGCCTTAGAAAATCAACAGATACATGGGGAAACATTGGACATTTGTGAGCTTAAATCTGAGGGAGCTAAAACTCTGAAGAAAACTAAGAAACCAGAGCAGTGAGCAGCGCTGACCTTTTCATAGAAGGCTATGGCACGATCAAGGTCGCCTACTCGAAGCATTACTTGGCATAATGGTTCAGGACTTGGTGCTCTCTCAAGAAGCTCAAACTTATAGCCATCCGGATCTTCAACAAATGCTATGGCTGTACTGCCACCTTCGACAGGTCCTGGTTCCCTGGTAACCTTCCCCCCCTTAGCCTTGATTAGATCTACTGTCTTGGCAACCTAGTCAATTATTAATATATTACTATGTCAACATAACAATATTCACTACACCAAAAATCTATAGCAAGTCGCACAACTCCCAAATATAATCAGATGTAAGTTGGTCTTAAAAGCTCATTGACACTACAGAAAAGGAAAAAGTTTCAATGCTATGGATAGAACATGTGACAGTTATAATGAACATATTCCTTCCTTTTGGTGAAAAACATACAAAACTTTACAAAGAGGAAAATGAAAATGTGTCTATGCAGTGGGTGGAGGATGAGAGGGTTGCCAGCTGTCAACTACAAACTTCCTTACTTTCTGAAGAAATATGAGCTTACATCTTCAACTGCGATACCAAAATGACCAAAACCAGTTCCAATGTCGTACTTATCAACTCCATAATCTGCAATAGTAACAAACTAGCATGATGAAAAGCTATTTTTCAATAAGCATAAATAATAGGATTCTGTAGAAGGCAACATGTTGTAGCATTCATATCTGAACATACTGTAAGTAAGTTCAACTACGAAGTGGGAATCTTCAGGACCGTATCCAAGAAAAGCATTAGAATATCTCTCTTCTGGGATGTCGCGTTTTCTCAATAGCTTCATACCCAGGCACTCAGTATAGAATCTGTATCACAGCAGTATAATCAGAATTACACGTCAGTAAAGCATTAATCTCTGTGTTTTAAGTTAAGCACTCGAGCAGCTAAATATAATCTAACTTAAATAGCATACTTTATAGTCTTCTCCAAGTCCCCTACACGATATACAACATGAAGCAGTCTCCGCGTGTCATTTTTGACCCAGTCTATCAAATTCTGTTGAGTAACAGAATTATTCGATTGGGCTAGTTTTCCTGCAGCAGTAGCCTCTATTGCTTGTCCCTCTGATTTAAACACTTCAGATACTTTTGCACCAAATAAATGGGATTGTGGGAGAGCTAGTTAAGGATAATTAACCCAGTTCTGTTAGTGAAGAAATCCAATAAATGTTTGCATCAAATAATAATCATACTTGCATATTAGTCCAATTTGTGTTTTCAGATGCAGAAAGGTATCAATCAATTCAATGACAACTGATGTCAAAACTCAAAAAGTACAAAGTAGGCTAGAATCCCTTGAGCAGGTGGGGGTGGGCAACAACCGCCAGAAGACTCTCAAGTCCCTTCTGAAGCCAAACTAGCCATATGTTGGTACATACAGCTATTTAATAACTAGCACCGTCCACTGATCCAAAAATGTGCAGGTTTAATGAGGATACCTTTCCCAACATGATTTTTTTCGATCCATAAGAGGTGAACATATGATTTTGTTTGAGAGGTGTGATAGCTCTTCCTATTAACCCAACCACCGTTGGTCTATTCATTGCTTTGTGGTGATAAATTTAAATTATGTTAGCAAGGCAGTCTTTTTCAAAGACCTTCTTCACGCATCAGTCGGATCATTAAAATAATCCAGATTCTTAAGAAAATAATCTGATAATGAATCTGTAAATGCTCCTTGCATTGTATAGAGGAAACGTATTCCAATTTCCACATATACTGCCGGAACCTGGGTTAACATTTTCTCCCTTTTCTCCCATTAAAAAAAAAAAGCTCTCCGCCCTTAAGAAAATCCACCACTAAACTCCTGGACTAATATTGAACATGTGTGCGCAACGCGTTGTCATTTGAATCCAAGATGACACAGACGCCTATATTGACTCTTTCTCACTCTGTTTTCGCTTCCAGGCGAGGAAACCAACAACCACTCGAGATTAAAAAATGGGATAACTGAAATATATAGGTATAATTCCGTGTATGCTTGCATGGTCAATGAAACGAACAAAGCATTCAAGTTTTTACTTGAAAAAGAATGCAGAGGTGAAGTTACCGGTTCCGAGGTGAAAGAGAGTGAGCCTTCGAGAAGGATTGTAACAGGAATTTCGAAACGAGGGCAAACGGAAGGAGCGTGGTGGTTGGAAAGCACAATGTCGGACCGTGGAGAGATTCAGAGCTGCAGATAAGGATGACGCCATTGTTGCCACCAGCTCCCTCTGCTTTGCTCGGTCTTCAGTCAGTGTGATTCCGTATTGGAAGTCGTGGGCTTCTCTTACAGGCCTCAAAACGTAATCGGGCTTTAATGTGTGAGCCCATCAAAATGGAGGCTCAAAGCCCATCTCAAAAATCTCAAATTGATTGAATTATTTAGTAGTGTTTATCATTTATTGTTGAACAGATGCCACAGCAATGTTTAACATTTAAAACACAATTTTATCATATTATAGTAATTGATAGAAATTAATGGCTAAGCAAGCAATTCAGTTTTATAGGGTAATTATTTAAAAAAAAAAAGACCTTATACCCCTCTCTTTCCACCCACAAGGCACATTTTATAAAATCCTGTGCATTAAAAATATAGATTATTTTAGTATTTTACAAAATTTAGGCAGCAGAGCTGTTTTTTTGTTACTTGCCCGTCTTTACAAATTGTAACGCATTGCAACTAAAAAGTTGAAGAGAGGGGTTAACATATACATGTGTGTGTTTGTGTAACAGAGATGGGAGTCTTGGAAAATTTTGATAATTTTTGAAACGCTCACAAACTTTACCTAGTTTTATCAATTTGTTTTTACTTATCTATAAAATAATTAAAAGTGATTTGCAAGTAAGAACAAAAAGGGAGGAAGTATTAAGCTACAGGACAGCGGACAAAGGCAGTGGAAAATCCTAAAGCACAGTGGTTGATTATTGCAAGTTTTTTGCCTTGCTTTTGTGATGCGTGATTATGGAGTTATTAGAATATATCATCCACATCATAAAGGGGAAGAACTGACAAAGAAAAGCATAAAAAGCTTATTCACATTGAGCGACCCACGTTAATTCAACATATAATGAAGGGAAAACGCTGTGTCATGGGCCTCTCAACTGTATTATTATTATTATTATTATTATTATTATAAATAATGACAAAGACAACGAATATTTGATCTTTCTTTTTGTTCTCTTTTTTCAAACTGACGATTTTAAAATTTATTGAATTAAAGGCATGAAATCTAATTCACATCACCAAACTTCGACCCTACACGTGTCTCAGCTATGGCGGCTAATTAGACCTCTCCTGACGACGACCGCCGAAAGATTCTGTCCACGATACGGATGGCTGGCCCCTCCCTATGTCTAGGCTTCTCATTTTTGGGGGAAAAATGATACTGTTCGTATTCTTAATATAAAAATTTATTTAACTAACTTGATTAGATTAAAAAAATTAGATAATTAGTTAATTATAAAAAAATAACACATTTTTTTAAAATACCATAATTATCTTTTTAATACCCTTTTTTTTTTTCTACTTGATTATGGCTGAGGAGTATCATAAGGGTAATTTAGAGAAAATTGATAAATATGAAAAATAGGTCTTATATTTAAGACCAAAACTAATTTAAAATTGAGTCTTATATTAAGGACCAGAAGAGTAACTTTTCTTCAGAAAAAATTAAATAAAAAAAAAAACAAAGCCGAAATTTCGGGAGCGCATAAAAATAAACTGTTTTCTCGGCATTTTGCTAATAATTACCGTCCGATGATCACACCGACAAAACAAACCAGTGAGTTCAAGACAGGACACCTAAGTAGTAAGTACAGTACTTAGTCAACGCCATGATCAAACATTTGAAGCCAATCCTTTGTGCTTCGGCTCTGTCGAGCTGCTCTCTCGGCTCGCAAACCATTGCACTGTTCGCTCCACAATCGGCAACCAAATCCTCCTCACTCTCTCTTCCCTCTCATTGTCCTCCACCCTGGTTTCTGCAAATCTCGCCACGTTGGCAATCTCCGACATGGATCTCTTCTCCCCTGGAGCAGTCAGCAGCGTAAACGAGTTATCTTCCTCGTTGGAAGCAGGGAATGTCGCGCTTGACATAGCACTGAGGATCTCAGAATTCAACGACAGCAAGTCCGAGGAATTAAGATCACTCCACCTGCTCCTCGTAGTAACATCGGATATGACTATTCTGTGATTGAGCCTGTGCGCAGGTTTCCAGTTGTTAAATATGTGAGAGCCCTGGTTTGATTGTTCCCTCTGCACGAAGATTTCGAGATCGGGGACTTCGTTTATGTTGGAAGGAACTCGAAGGAACCTGGAGCTGATGGAGGAATTGAATGTCTTTATGTCCCCAAGGACAACCTTGTACCTGCAAAGAGGGCAGGTCGAGTGACATTCGAGCCACTTGTCGATGCAATTCATGTGGAAAGCATGCTTACACTTGGGCAGCAACCTAAGAACCTCAGCGTCGTCGAATTTTGACAGGCAAACGGCACATTCCAGGCCTTCTTTTGACCCCTTGAGCGAAGAGAACTTGAAAAACGGCAGTGCTTCGATTACTTGTTTGTCTATCCCGGAATATCTTGACCCTGATCGACTTGCTCCTGGATTGTTCATATCGAAGTTCCGAGACTGAACGGAGCGGCTTTTACAGAACTTTACATATGCCAGAAGAGAAATGATATGGCAAACATAACGGTGAGGATTGCTATTATAATTCCTTTGCTGGGATGGATGGTTTCAGGCATATCTTGCATGCTCTCTGGTATTCCCTGGGATTGCACATCCAACAATAATGAAAGAATCGTAATGAACACCACCAAACAGTCGCTCATCTCTGGGATATCTTTGCCTACCAGATTACTCATTCTTAAGGTTTTTTTGCCCCTTAATTACGTATAAGGGGTAGAAATGTATATTTAGCGGAGAATCTCTAGAGTTATCCTCTGTCCAAAGAGTACAGACAATTCTTAAAAGGTTTCGTATATTTTAATATATTTCTTCTCACTGTAACAGTCCCCACATGGAGGAGATTGTGTGTTTGTTGGTTTATGTAGTCTTTATCTTGGAAAATTAATCAAGTTTATCTTATCTAAGTGAAGACAAATTGCATTCGTAAGGAGACGTCCTCTGTCTCTGACCAAAGGACAATAACATTGTGAAAGATTTCATAGCTGTGGAATTTACACTTGCCTATCATGATTCCACTCTCTCACAGTTAACACGAAGATGAATTTGAATTGTTTGTTTTCTGGTTCCACTCTGGCTCTGCCCCTAGAATAGGAAATTGAAGGGAGAGAATCAGAAATGAAACTTATGCTCTGTTTGAAGCTCATCAAGGATCAACCAGAGCCACTTGAATATAATTGGCCGCATGTGGAGTCCACTAATTGTCGTCCAGACAATCCCTGGACGTATCTCTGCGTCTTTTGCTTCGTCTTACATTAGATAATTTAAGTCCATGTAGGGCGCTTATAAGCACAACGGTTGAAAATTTAATAAGGGGCTATAGTGAGCCTACTAGCCCATTTTGATATTTATAAGTACAGAAAATAGACATATAGATGTGGGGTTTTGGATCCTAATCCCCTATATGGTGCTCCTTTACTTTAACTGTAGGATCTACTTTTCATGTGTTGCACCTTATTTTAAGGGGGGATAGATATGACATGTTATCCTTATAGATCAAAATCCGACCGGGATTTAAGTGGTGATAACGTGCGAAGTAAATAAAAGAAACAACTCAATTCAATATACACAAAAAAAATGTACAAAAGACATCCACCTAACCTCACTCGTGTCTTCTGCCATTGGGTTCACCTGCATCTATAGTACTCGCTACTCACACGTCCTCTTAACAACTTTGCTTCTGTCACACCACCAACGTCATTTCTTTTACAGGCAATGACATGGCTTAGGAATCAAAATACAAGTTACAACACACTGTGAGCGGCACAGGGAAAGGGAACCCCAATCCCCAAAAAAAGGAACAAGGTATTTTCAAGAATATACACATGCCATTATTTGTTCTGCATTTGCTCAGGGGGTGATGACCAGCACTGACAAATTAAGCTTCCAATGATATTGGCATGAATGCTCCATGAAAGCCATATGGAACTCGTTGAGGCATCGTAATTCTGGCAACTGCCTCTCCCGAAAAGTTTCTTGTGTCAATCATATGAACCTGGGAGGAGAAAGTGGAAATGAAGTAAGTGCCTTAATTCTCTGCAAGATCAATTGTAGGCTAAAAAATTAACTTACTTGAGATATGTCGGTATCTTCGTTGTGAATAAAAGTGACGATCCAACCATCATCTTCTTCAATCCCATCACTTTTTGGGACAAAGGATGCTCCCGTGCAAAATACATTCTTCTCAAACATGTGGTATTCGACCCTTAGAGGCTCTTCGTGCTCTATGTTATTCTGCTTAACAAAAAACACGTTTGTGATCATGGAAGACAAAGCATGATCAGAAAGCAGACTATCTTATTCAGAGTAAGCTCTCACCGCAGACAAATCCATGCATGGTTTTTCAAAGTAAAGCTTGGCTAGACCTGCATATTTAGGCACTCCTAAATGACCAAGGAGAAAAATCAAAAGTTAGAATTACTAGCATGTATATTTGATAAGGCTGCTTATAATTTATCATTTTTTTTTCCCTCCCAAAAGTACCTGCAGTGGAGCTAGCTGCAGGATCAACCACTTGAGTGTAACCATATCTATTCTTAGTACCTATAAAATTTGCATTAATCATAGGAAAATCCATACTCAGTACTTTAGTTCCACCGAGATCCTTCTCCTTAACTTCCCCACTTTGCAGATTCAATCTCCACTCATAACAGCGAGAGAATGCCTCAAATGGATTCAAACTAGGGTCAAGCCGAGGAACTACCGAATCAAGAGCTCTGCATCCCCACACTACAACCTGTCGATACACATTAAAATCTACTTAAACTAGTGTGCTTGCAGGATCAGTCAAAAAATTTAGTCGGTCTTGTCAACAATAATTGAAACGCTGTCTTGAGGTGAAAAGTAGCGGCTTTGTCAATGAATGGATTAGCTGCAGTGACAATCGTTGAGCTTTTATGTGGACGATGGACATCTAATAAGCTTTGGAAATCTCAGTTACCTCATGGGCATCCTCAAAAGAGTTGATGATGTGAAATGTGCAATTAGGTTTCACCTCAAACCATTGGATCGAGTTGGCATCACCATAGCGGGGCATTACCCCCATTCTTGCGTATTCCTCCTTATTATACTCTATTAATCTGCGCGCAAACAAGAAATTCCAACTCAGACCACTTTTATACTTCTAAAAATTGAATCACGAAGTTCAGCAAGAAAAAAAGGGTCAGTGCTCACGGGCCTCCTCTAATAAGTCTGTTTAGATCCAAGGTTAGCGGAAAATCCATGATCACATTAAACCTGCAACAAAGTTTCACTATCATTTTTACAGTTTACATTATAACTAGAAGTCAGTTTAAAGTACATATATCAACAATGTTACCGTTCTGTAACGCCTATTTCATGGCAAAGACTGCACCTGTTCATTTTGATATCCACTTTATGAATCAATTTCTTTCCATCATCTGACAAAATAAGGGGAAGGCAGGTCATTGAGTTTGCACATTACAACAGGATCCAGTAAAAGTGTAATACAAAGCATACCTGAAATGATTCCTAGTGTAGCAAAAGGCTTAGTTGGAGACACCCCCATTATAATTAGCTCTCCTGTAGCTGGAGCTTTCTGAGATT